TCCACACCACGGGTGACACCATGGTGCTGTTGGCCCTGGGGGAAAGCACCTGAGCCACTCCCGTCAGGCACCGCACTACCTTAAGTGGTCATAAATGGTGCCTGTAGATCACTCCATGCTGCTCTTCGGCAAGGTTTAAACGCAGAGGAGCAGGCTCAAACCAAATCCTACTGACTGTGGCCAAAGAAAGCCAACATTGCCCTTCCCTGGCAATGTTGCCCCAATCCAGGGTTGGCACTGACTGATCCCAAGGCTGGTGGGAGTAGATGGAAGAGTTTCAGACTGGAGCAAAGTCTCCCAAAGGCCTCTCCACATATGTCAACCGTCTTGCAGTGGGCCTGGTCCCTGCCAACACTCTTCCCCAGAGCTGCCAGGCTGCTTAATTTTCAGCAAGTAGCTGTTGTGGCTTTGCCATTGGTCCCTTCCTGCTCAGCCTGGTCTCCCTGGAGCCCCCCTGAGCAGCGATGTCACTGCTTTTCCTACTAATCAGTTAATAATGACCAGAGCATGTTTCTTCCAGGCAGATGTAGTAATTCATCTCCCTGCCTGCAGAATCACATTCTCCAGGGATCCAGGCAGCCCGGCGTGGCAGCACAGCTCTTCTGCTCCACTGGGTCTGGAGGGTTTTCCTGCCACCAACGGTGGCCAGGGACAGCTCTGTATCGGCTCTCCTTCCTTCAGCAAAACCCTCGCAGCCCGTTGTCCTGCTGACACACAGCCCGCAGCGGGAGAGGCAGAGCTGGCAGCAGGGTGGGAGCGTTGTGGAGAGAGAGAGAGAGACTGGTGGAAAATCCCATCTGGTTTAATTTTGGGAAGCTGGAAGGAGATGAAGGTGTCAGGAAATGTTGTCTAGCGTGTGTGCGGGCAGCAGATTGCATTAGCTCAAGCTTGGAAACACACTTTCCCTTGCAGCTGCTCGGTGTTTGTTGCTACAGAAATGGGGGGGGGGGGGGGAATCTCTCTGGCAGGGATCGGTGTTGCATGCAAAGGTGTGTGGCTGAGAGCTTGTTTCTTTGTTTTTCAGTACCCATAGTCCTGAAGTACCATACCTGACGGGGCAGCTGGAGGCTTTGGTGGAGCTGGCTCTGGGATAACCAAACTGCTGTGTAATTTAAGTGAGATATCTGTATATAGCTTTGAAGTTGTTTTTCTCCAAGGAGAGAGGAGGCGGCGGCAAGTAGCCAGTTCTAACAGAGCATTTTAAGAACTGCCAAATGACCCTTTTTTTTTGGTCGAGTACCTGATCCTGCTATCAGACTTTTTTTATAACAGAAGATTTGGTTCCCAAACTGCCTGTTTTGTGTAATTCTGGGTCTCTGGTTTGGAGCCGGCTACTTGCCACTTGCCACTGTAGTTCATCTGTATATATGGTTGAGTTCTAATATTAATAATAATACTGTTTGAGCAGTTCCCCGCTGCCTGCTGTGGAAGGCAGAGGGGACTTTGTCCTTTCATCAGAGCAAAGGAGGGGAAAAATGTCTGAAGAGAAAAATGCCATTATGTTACAGGGAAACGACCCTTCTCTGGAGAACTGCAAGGGTGTCGTTTCTCTGTTGTTCAAAAAAAAAAAAGAAAAAAAGAAATAATTAGGTTTTACAATCCAGAATACTTTCTGGTCCTGCCATGGGAATGCACAAGCTCGGTGTTTTAAGTATCGCTGCTTACAGCTGTGACTAAAGACATTCCAGTAAACCTATTTTTGACTGTACATTTGGAGTTCCTGCACGTCTTCATAGTGTTCTGGAGGACATTCAGGGCTCTCTGCTGCAGGGAGTCCCTAGAAAGGGGCTGTTTCAGTGTCTTCTTCACCAGAAGCAAGAAGTGTGTATAAAGCCCAGCTGTTAGCCCAATGATACAAGAGACACAGCAGGAGGACAGCAACTCTCCTGAAACCAGTCCGGTGGACGAGCCCACTTCATATTAGAGCCTTTGATCTTGATGCGGTGATTGCAGTCCTGAACACCAGCCCATTCTGCTTCCCTGTGATCCAGTGGGCTGGGGGCTGTTCCCAGGCAGCTGCGTTGGGGTGCTCGAGGTTGAGGGGCCCCTGCGCTGGCCTAAACAGGAGCTGAGCTCCTCCATCCATGGGTGAGACTGTTGCATTTTGGCTGTCTCCATCCTTGGTCTCAGGTGTTGGTGGCATTTCTGTCTGCTCTTTATTTTTGGGACCCTCGTTCCTTCCAGCCCTGAGCCTGGGACTTCAGCTGAGCTGAGATCAGGCTCTCCTGGTTCTCTTTCTGCTGTTTCTTTTCTGATGAGAGCAGCACTGGTCCAGATCAGCATGTGTCTGAAGTAATGCTGGAGAGGGGAAACGGTGGCCCAGAGAATTCCTGGTGCCATGTCCCAGCTTCCTCTTCTGAACCTGCCCCCAGGACCTTGTTTGCAGTTTCCACCCGAGTGGTGGTGCTGCTCCATGCAGAGAAAGGGATTAAAAGCACAGCAGGCTGGAGGGTTGGATGTGATTCCAATTACAGCTTGCTCAGCTGAAATCTAAATAGGGCTCTTCCCCTCTGTGGGCCCTGGTCTCTCCAGGTGGGAACCAGAAAGCCAAGCTGGGTTTTTCTTCATGAGGTGTAGCCTGGTTTTAAGATCGTGCACCCAGTGGAAGGGATAAAAATGCCTATGCCTTTGGCTACTTTCCACCTTCAAGGGAACAAGAGGGAGGATGAAGAGGGACTTCAGGGGGCCTGCAGGTCTCGCTGAGCTACTGGGTACCTTTTCCTGCCAGCTGGAAAGCAAATTAATGGTACCGTGAACCTGTGGAATGGCTGTGCTGTGACTACTCTGGCCTGCCTGCTAGGGCAGGCTTTCCTCCTGCTGCTGGAGAGTCCTGCCAGTACCTCTGGCTTTCTTTCCCAGCCCCATCTTGCCTCTGCTGCTGCCACCCACAGAAGGACCTTGGTGCCACAGCAGCACATCAGAGCTTCAAAACCCTGCTGGCACCAGGTCTGAGCAAGAGAAGGTAGTTTTGCAGTTGCTTGCTAGAGGCAAAGCCTGGCTTTAAAGCTGGGCTGAGGGCCTTGGAAAAGGGATGCTGGTAGGATGAAGGCATCTTGGCATCCCTACTGTATTAAAGAACTGCTTATAGCTGCCAAATTTGGGAGCTGCTGCTACGCCTTCCATAGCCATGTCCTTGCTGGGTTCGGCAGTTCTCCATCAGCAGCATGTCCTTAGGGAAGTTTTCAGATAGCGTCGAAGTCTCTTCAGTGCAGGCACTGGCATTCCACCCCAAGAAGTGCTGCTGTTACCACTGTGGCGGAGGTGCACTGCTTCAGCCAGCCCCAAACATTTCTCCAGCTGACCCAGATCCATAGAAAAATGAGATGTCTGCATTAGTGCCCCTGACCCTGGACTGTTTGTGTCTTGTGCCTCAGTCTCACCCTTCGGTACCAGTGGGACTGGAGCAGGGCCACCCCAGGCAGCAGGCTCTTGCCCTGGGAAAGGTGGCTTTCCTCGACAGCTTTGCCATGGTGTTTTTCGCAGCATCTCCCAGGAGGTTGGGGTGCAACTGGTTCTACTTGAGATGGAGGGCAGGGAAAGCTGCCATGGACAAAGCCTTCAGCGTGCTTCCCGGGATTAGGGGTTGATCAGTTCAAGTCACTGAACGCTGGGGTCATCCTGAGCACAGACCTTCCCGAAGGACCAGCTCTGGCTGTAAGGCACCACCAGCAGCAAATCAACAGACCTGGTCAGTAAATTCCCAGTAATCAAGCTTACCAAGCAAGTTTTATAGATTCCCCCCCCCCCCCCCCCCCATGGCTGAAAAGACCATTACAATATCTGGTCTCACATACTTTATACAACAGTCCTCCTTACGTTCCTTTGTGATACTGTGGTTTTATATTGCAGCCTGTGCTATCCCACCCTGGACTGGCGGCAGGGAGCTCTAGTGAATGGAAAGGGTTGTTGTTTCCAGCAGTGTCTGCATGCTTTGGAGTTGGTTTTCACTTCGATGTTATGAAGGAGATTTTACAACAAAAACAATTCATTCACCCAAGCACCGGGTCTGTTTTATCCATTCCCTTTTTGTGCAGAAGACAGACCTCTTCGTTGCTGTTTTCCACACGATGGCTTTTTTACAGGGAACAGCTTGTTTTGGCTGGAGTTGTGCATTCCTGCTGCAGGGCTGGTTCCTCCTCTCAGGCTTGCTGGTGTGACCCATTCGGCGAGACCCCGAGGTCCCCGCGCCCGAGGGCAGGGGGGCTGCAGGGACGGATGGCCGCAGTTCTGGCGCAGGTGGAGAGAAGCCTCCCAGCTCTGCGAGCTGGCGAGAGCAGAGGGGAAGAATTTACCCGGCCTGGGGAGTCCCTCTGCAAAACAGGAGCTTCTGGCGGGGCTGGGTACCGTGGTGGGGACCCCGATGCTTCACAGGGCACCGCTCCCCACAGCCGTTTGGCTGGGGAGCACCGGGCCTCGCTGACCCGCGCCTTCGGGGTTCCACAGCGGCAGCAGGGACCGTCTCTTGATTCCCGAGCCCAGCAGCTTTTGCTGCAGCCGCCAGCTGGTCCCGCGAGTTACCTTCGCAAAGACGGAACCTGATCGCTCCTACGTAGGAAACGTGGTGCAAAGAGGTGTCAGCGCTCTGGGAGTAAAACGCAGTACCCCGCGGCGCACAATCCACTGCCCAACTCCCCCAACTTCATGTGATTCTACTTCAGGGGGGAAAAAAAAAAAAAAAAAGAATAGGAAGAGGGATCCTCCAAACGCTGGGGAAGTAAACAAGGAGGGGGCTGGTGCAGGGAGGTGCCGGTGCCCGATATGGGGCGGGCTCGGCCGCCATGGCGCCCTCCCACCAGCTCTCGCGAGACTACCCGGTGTGGCCCTCGCGCATGCGCACAGGCGGCGCCGCGTACCAGGCGAGCGGCGGGCGCCCTCCCTCGGAGGACCGGAAGTTTTCCCCTTCCCCCCCCCCGTCCCCCCCACCTCCCATTGGCTGGGCCTTGCCGGGAGCGCGGCCGCTGCCGCCGGTGATTGGCGGCTTTGGCGCGCAGGCGCGAGAGGGGGGGGGTGGGGCGCTGAGGATGGCGGTGCAGGCGGGGCGGCGCGTGGTGTTCGTGACGGGCAACGCCAAGAAGCTGGAGGAGGTGCGGGGGGGGCGGCGGGCGGTTGCTTGGCAACACGCGGCCGGGCCGGGGCCTGACGGGCGGGTTTCCCTTCCTTCTCCCTCCGCAGGTCACTCAGATCCTGGGGGACTCTTCTCCCTACACGCTGGTGGCGAAGAAAATTGACCGTAAGTGGGCGGCGGGGCTCGTGGGGGGACGCGGCGGCCCGGCCCTGGGCGGGGGTTATGTGTGTGGGGGTGTCCCCTCAGCGCCGGCCTTTGTGTCCCCAGTGCCCGAGTACCAGGGGGAGCCGGACGACATCTCCGTGCAGAAGTGCCGTGAAGCCGCCCGGCAGGTCGCTCGCTTTCTCCTTTCTGGCCGGTCGGAGCGGCGGTGGGGGTGCGGGAGGTTCGGGGAGGGCGGCGGGGCTTCGGTCCCCTCGGTCAGGGGCGGGTCCGGGTCTGGTCTTGCTGCGCTCCTGTTACCTGGCTGTTTCTGGTCTGTGCTGGGTGATGGTGAATTCTTACTGGTGCCACAGTGCTCCTCTGGCCTCTTGTGTCCCTCGAGCAGCAGGAGGACATGATAGCTCCTTCAGTCCAGCCGCAGCAGTTGTGGGACACTGAGTTTTCTCTCAGCTGGAGCTTCTGATGGATCACCTTCCAGAGCTGTCTCTGGGACGGGTGTCTTGAAAGAACCATGTGAGGACTGGGACTCAAGGAAGATGCAGGCATGCCTCCAGGCCACAGGCTTTCTCTCTCCTTGTCCCACCATCCCTGCCCGGCAGGAGGTGTTCAGCTCTGCTCGGTTTTCTCCATAAAAGATTTTACCAGCCGTGCTTCAGCCACTTCTGCCTGCCTTCTGAGAGCATGGGTTTGGTTGTGTCTGTCTGGTATGGGTTGCCTCTGAAGTGCTTTAGTGACTGGTGGATTTTTGTGATGTTCCTGTTATCGTGGAAACATGGCAATAGAATAAAGCAAGAAAGTGAGTTTGGAGGCAGTGCCTTCCTCTGGGTCTAATGTTTCCATCTCTTGGGCTTTTGCTGTAGGTTCAGGGACCTGTTATAGTAGAGGATACCTGCTTGTGCTTCAATGCCCTGGGGGGGCTGCCAGGACCCTACATGTAAGTAGGAGGGAACTTGCTTCCCTTTTTGTGTCCTCGATTTAGGAGTGCAGAGTGTATTTCACAGGGGATTCTCCAGGGGCCAGGAGCAGTAGAGTCAGAGAGGCAATTACCGGTCTGTCTCCTCAGCTTCATCCTGCACCTCTGGACTTAAGCTGGACTTAAAACTCCTTGAACCCTGCTGTAAGTCACGGTGCAGGACAACACAGACCCGAACTATTGGCTTTGGCTTCCAATCTGTGGTGCCTGCTCCTGCACCCAGCTTGGGAACCTGGCCCCACGGTGGGCTCTGCATGGGGAAGGCACCATGCTTTTCCCCAGGACTCTGGGATGTGTGTCTTGGGGGTGCTCATAAGGACTGCTTTAATTCAGCCAATAACAAGATTATTACATTACAGCGTAACTCCTCTAATAAAATACTGCCTTAGCTCCTGGAATTAACTTTTAGTGTGATTAATCTTCCAAACTATCTGCTGAGCTAAGCAGAGACATAAAAGCTTTATATGATGGAGTTGGCACTGGAACTAGGAGTAAGATGTGAACAAGGTGAGTTGAAAAATGTATTTCGGCATGTCATTGCTCACAAGTGGGAACTGGGCTGTTTACGTAGACCCCAGTACTGCAGTAAATTAAGTACTCCACTGTTGTTTTTACTGTGCCACATTCAGTTTAAGACCCAAGTTTGTCTTTGTTGGTAAATAGCCCAGAATGAGGTGATCTGACAACACGTTTAAAGAGAAATTCAAAGTGCTATGGAAATGTAGACAACAATGTCTTGAGGATGCCTGTATTTTGAGAAATAATAGCAAAGATTAATCTTTTCTCTTTTTTTCCCCTTCAGTAAATGGTTCCTGGAAAAACTCAAACCAGAAGGTACTGCCTCCCTTGTTACTGCTCTGTACGTAACTTGGTCCTTTCCAAATGAAAGACATACCTGCCCATGCTGGATTCTGAGCGTGTTTGCCCGCCGCGCTGCCCTTTTCATAGCTGTTTCCTTTCCTCTCTGCCCAGCTCTGTCCCCTCACATTGTCTCCTTGAGCCTGGTCTGTGCCCTTCTTCATGGAAGGTTGTTTTACCTCAGTAGCTTCAGCACCGACTCTGCGTGCCCGGATCCCCAGGCTCCTGCCTTCACAGGCTGGTGGCAGGGCTTGTAGGAACGTCTTGCCTGTCGTCGGTGTGACCTGAAAGACTTGCTTCTCCCTTTGGCTCCTGTGCGAGCCCCTCTCCGCTAGCATTCCCCTCCCTTGGCATGCAGTGACTGCCTTTGATCCCGTGGTTAAGAGTGTGACTGCAAATCCTGCGCTGGCGTCACGAGCACGAGTGTTCATCACGCTAACTCTGAGTGGGCTTTAGTCCAATGTAGCACTGCGCACTCGTTTGCTTCCACTCCCAAATTAACAGTGGGGCCCCGCGGCTCATGCTGTGTTAGATCTGATCCGCTACGTACAAGGGGCTGGGCCAAGAGCGTCCTTGTGCCCGAGCTTTGTCACCTCCTGTAGTTCTTCTCCCTAGTGGGTGTGAATGCAGAATCCATCTCTACGTGGGTGTGCTGTGCTCGCAGGGAAGGGCAGTGACGCCAGGATCCTTTCTGTGTCACTCAGGCCTGTACAAGCTGCTGGCTGGGTTTGAAGACAAATCTGCCTACGCTCTCTGTACCTTTGCCTTCAGTACTGGAAACCCTGAGGAGCCAGTGAAGCTGTTCAAAGGCCAGACTCACGTAGGTGTCGTGCCTGAGGAAGGGAACAGGCTGAGGGGGAGGGCTGTGATAGGAATTTTGTAACAGCATCGGCTCTGCCGAGGATAATTTTAGTGGCCCCTGGGTGACTGAACACCCCCGGAGCTTCTCCGTGTTGGGAACAGGCTGCGGGAGCGCAGCTGGTGGGCGCCGATTGCCGCAGCCCTATTGCCCGGCTGTACGTACCCAGGGTTTTGCACATTGCCTGAGGGTTTTCAGCCCTCTTGTATCCCACTGGCAGGGTTGTGTTGGAGTGCCGTTGTTAGTTCTGTTAACTGAGGGGGCTAAGGGGCTGTCAGCATAGGGCAGCGTGATGGAGCACCGAGTTTGGAGCTGCTAATTCTGGTTATGCTGGGGAGGAGGAAGGCACCGCAGCGTGAGCCGTGGCTGTGGACAGCTCTTCAGTCCGTCTGTGAAACAGGACTATGAGGGAAGTGCTGCAAGACCGCGGCTTACAGGGCTTTTTTTTTTTTTTGCTTTTTCGTGGCAGGGGCTGATAGTGGAGCCCAGAGGCCCTCGAGATTTTGGCTGGGACCCCTGCTTTCAGCCGGATGGCTACAACCAGACGTAAGTGGTGCTTTACCTACAGCTCTTTATGTGAGGACAGTGTCGTGGTTTGAGCCTGGTCGGCAGCCAAACACCATGCAACCGCTCACCCCATCCTCCCCCCCACACCCGGGAATGGGGGAGGGAATTGGAGGGGTAAAGGGAGACTCACAGGTTGAGTTTAATAATGGTAGTAAAACGAAAACAATGACAGTAATAGAAAATATAAACGGACAATGCACAGTGCAATTGCTCTCCACCTGCTGACCAATACCCAGCCCATTCCCAGCTAGATATCCCAAAATACCAAGATCCCATAATCACAATCCCAGAAGCGAGAGAGCCCCTTCCCGACTGCCCCTCCTCTATATAGTGAGCATGACGTTCCACGATATGGAATATTTCACTGGCCAATTTGGGTCTGGTGCTCTGGCCGTGCTCCCTCCCTGCTTGTGCACTTGTGCGCAGGCAGGACACGGAGAGTCCTTGAAATCTCAGCAGCAGCCGAAAACATCAGTGTGCTATCAGCATTCTTCTCATACCAAACCCCATGCTGAATCCAAAACACCATGTGGTTTCTCTCCCCTCTAGTTACGCCGAGCTGCCCAAGGCAGTGAAGAACTCCATCTCGCACCGTTACAGAGCGCTGAGCGAGCTCTCCGCCTTCTTTCTCCAGAGCAACGCGGCACCGCCCGGGCCCAGCGAACCCCCCACGCCGCACGCCGCCCCGGGAGAGCTCAGCCCCGCCGCGGGCTGCCATTAAACCTGCTCTTTTTGAAACCACTGCTACTTTTCTTTTTTACGTTTTTTGCCCCGTCCTGTTTTGTTGCTTCAGAAGCGCTGCGCAGCCCAGCGTTATTTAGGCCGCACGGCGGAGGTCGCGTCTGGGGTCTGCGGTGCGACCCGGCCGGGGTATAACGGCAAAGCGGCGGGACTGCGGCTGCGCGGAGCGGCTAGCCAATGGGAAGCGGCCGGGGGTGGGGAGTGAAGAGAAGCAGCCAATCGGCGGCGGGAGCGCGCTGCGCGCCCGGATGAGGTCAGAGCGCGGCGCAGCCATGGAGCTGCTGCCCCGCAGCCCCGCGGCCTTCGGCTCGGGCCGGTACTGGGACCGGTTCTTCCGCCAGCGCGGGCAGCGCCCCTTCGAGTGGTACGGGGCCTTCCCGGAGCTCTGCCCCGTCCTGCACAAGTACGTCCGGCCTCGCGATAAGGTGAGCCCCGGGGGGCGGCGAGCTCCGCGCCGCCGTGTCCCGCCGTCAGCTGCCGCTGGGCGCGGACACCGGGCGGGAAAACCGCCCCCCGCCCCGATTTGGGGGCTCTGGGGTTTAAATCACCCAGAGCATCCCCCGAGAGGTGCAGCGGGCGCATTCCGTCTGCGCCCGTGGGAAAACGTTATCCTGGGGCGGTGGGTTTGCAGGGGCCGCGGGGTGCGGTTTTCACCGAAGGCCCGTGGCCGCGGCAGATATTTACTCATCAGACGCTTCGGGGCGCGTTTCCAGGGTGTTCTCCACCATCACGCTGCTCTTGCGACCCTTCCACAGGTTCTGGTGGTGGGCTGCGGGAACTCGGAGCTGAGCGAGCAGATGTACGACGTGGGGATGTGCGAGGAGGTCGTCAACATCGACATCAGCGCCGCCGTCGTCCGTCAGATGCAAGAGCGGAGCGGCAGCAAGAGGCCAAAGATGAGCTACCTGCTGATGGACGTGCTTCAGATGGACTTCCCCGATGCCCAGTTCCAGGTGGTGCTGGACAAAGGCACACTGGATGCCATCCTCACTGATGAAGAGGATGCCACTCTAGCGAAGGTGGACAAGATGTTTGCCGAGATCAGCCGGGTCCTGCAGGTAGGAGGGCGCTACCTCTGCGTCTCCTTGGCTCAAGCCCATGTGCTGAAGAAAGCAGTGGAATACTTCTCCCAGGAAGGCTGGGTCGTGCGTGTCCATCAGGTGGCCAGCAGCGGGGACAAGCAGCAGTTTGTCCTCCCAGTCTTTGTCTACGTCATGACAAAGTTCAAGAAGATCCCTGGCTCGGCACCGCAGATCCTGGAGATCTGCCCTGAGGAGCAGGACAAGCCGATGAGGGTGGAGAGTGCAGAGCGGCTGGTGGCGGCGGTGAAGGACAGGCAGCATTATGCCCTGCTCTGCAGCCAGCTGAGCAAAACCCCCTGTGGGGAGCAGGTTTCCTTGGATCTGTGTGACAAAGAGAGCGGGAGGCCCCGCTACACGCTGCATGTAGTCGACAGCCCCTCGGTGAAACCTTCCCAGGACAATCGCTTCGCCATCTTCATCAGTGAGTACAGCCTCTCCTGCCTGCAATGAGACGGTGCTCTGGCCAGGAGCCGCAAAACAGCCAGCGGTCCTGGTCCTGCTGAAATCGGGGCTGGAGAGGGAAATAACCCGTCCGTGCGGGATTCGGTTGATGTTTTAGTCTTGGCTTTGCGGTGGGACATGGGTTTGCCTGGTGGTGCAAGCAAGGATCTGGCACAGAGCTGGCTGGCTGAGCGGATGCTCGTCTGGCAGCAGAGGGACGCTGCCTGCCCTGCCTCCAAGGGGGTGATTCCTGCCTTGATGCTGGTGACGGCCTCCATAGCACGTTGCCGCACAAAGCCAGAGCGCAGCGGATGCAGCTGGAAAGGTGTCGCTGGTCTGCGTGGGCGTCCTGACTTGCCAGGTCCAGGCTGCTCGGGGCTGTGCTTCCCTTTTGCGCTGGCACCTCACGGAGACATGTCAGGCTCTGCCAGCAGCGCTGTTTCCTCCCTGCACGCCTGCAAAGCTGGGACTTAGCACAGCCTGGAGGCAGGTTGTGAGGTTGTTGGATGCCCCCTTCTTGGGAGATGTGGCTTTTCCAGCCTCCTGTATGAGCTTGCCCAAACTGGGAAAAGTTCTGGTTCTCCTGATGGTTGCAGAACATTGCTCTAGGCATGCAGTGGTACCTCCTCATGATGTCCTGCCATTCCCTGCAGCTCCTCTTGGAGGCTGGGGTGGTTGCTCGGGGACGTGCAGTGGCCCAGGCTGATGGCAGCCCCTTCTGCAGTCCCGCAGGGCAGAGAAACCGAGTGGCTCTTTGGGACGGAGGAAGGGCGGAGGCAGCTGGCCACCAGCGCGGGTTTTGGGCGCCTGGTCACCGTGGCCCTGCACAGGGAGCAGCACTATGAGGGCATGGCGGGCATCCAGGCGGAGCTGTCGGGGAAGGTGATGGAGCTGGCCCCGCCGGGCCTCCCTGCCCGGCACCAGGTGAGCCCCACTGCCCGGCCCCCTTACTCAGCTTCCTCAAAACCAGGGCTAGGCTAGCAAGTCCCTCTTCTCTGAGGGAGACCAAGCTGCTCTGTGTGAGCTGGCTGACTCGGCAGGGAGGAGGCTGGTCTCAGGTGTAGCTCCTTTGATCTTTTCCTCCAGCTGGCTGCCTTTGTGTGTGGCAGGATTCACCGTGCAGTCCTTGCCCTCCAGAACCCAACATCCCAAGAAAACCAGGCATCCTGAAACCCTGAGAGGATCTGGCCCTTTCTTACTCCTGGCTTTAACTTCTCCTGGCCCTTCTGTTTCCTCCTTCCTGCCCCAACTCCCCAAACCTGAGCTCTTGCAAGAAGTCTCGGGGTGTTTTCTCCCTCTACCCCAACATGTGTATGGGTCCCATGTGCTGGTCCCCAGATCCCCTGTGGCTTCCTGTGGCCCATCCCACTGCTCCTGCACTGTGTTTGCTTCATCCCAGCTCTTTAGCCATGGTCAGGACAGCAGGAATGCCAGGGTCTGTTCCTATAGCTTTTCTTTCCTTGCACCGGTCCCCATCTTCTCTGCAGGTGCCCTTCCTGTCTGTAGGAGGGGACATCGGGGTGCGGATGGTGCGGCACCGTGACACCAGCCCCTTGAGTGGGGAGTACGTTGTGGAGGACGTGAAGGGGGATGGCACCTGCTACTTCCGACGCCTCATCTTCCTCTGCAACAGGAACGTGGTACAGTCGGAGGCTCGGCTCCTGGCCCCTGTGCCTCTCCCAGGTGTGTGGGGCAGCTGGGAAAGGGCAGGGGCCAAGGGTGACTTTTTGGGGTGGTAGAGAGTGAGACTGATACAGGAGTAGTATAAAAGTCCCGCTGGGACCTGCCTGCCTTGTTCTGGGGCAGATCTGGAAGCGTTGTTGTACTCTGCTGCCTGCTTCATGGGTGGGATAGGGGCTGGGGGTGGTTAGTCCCCAGAACATCCTTGTCTGCTGCCTTGCCTTACCAGCCAATGCCTCCTGTTGTTCAGGCCAGAAGAAACGGAGGAAGGACAAGAAGAAACCTAGCCCCGCTGAGCCACCTGCAGCCATCGACAAGAGCTACCTATGCTGCGAGCACCACAAGGCCATGGTCGCGGGGCTCTGCCTGCTGGGGGGCCCCGAACCCCTCCCAGGTGATGAGGCTGGCGGTGGGAGGCTGTGCCAAAGGCAGGCATGTGGGTGTCCCCATGCACCAGCTCCTTGGGGAAGGGCTTTCCTGGCTTGGGGCACCCCATGTGCTCTTCCCAGAGCGGTTTGGGCACGGGGATGGGATGGGTGGTGTGAGCACAGCCGTCCCAGCCACTCACCCGAGCACTCTCCATTGGCAGGAACCCCGCTGGCGGTGCTGGTGGTGGGGCTCGGCGGGGGCAGCCTGCCCCTCTTTGTCCATGACTACTTCTCGCAGGCCCGCGTGGCCGTGGTGGAGATCGACCCCTCCATGCTGGAGGTGTCCACACGCTGGTTTGGCTTCTCCCAGGGCGACCGGATGCAGGTGCACATCTCCGATGGCCTGGACTATGTGGCCAAGCTGGCGGCTGAAGGTACCATCTCACATCTCGGGTGCCCCACTGAGCCCAGTGGGTCCTGGGCCCCTCAGGACTCTGGGCCCCTCACGAGCTTTAGCTTTGCCAGGTCTCTGCAGCTTGCAGGCCTGTCCTTGCCAACATGTGACCTTAGACTTGCTGCCTCCCCCAGCGCCAAGGGCTGCTGCCATGGGTTTCTTGTGGAAAGAGAAACCCCGGGAGAGAGAAGCAGCCGTAACATGGCAGAGGAGGTGTCTTGACCACCCTATTCCTTGCCTCCCCACTGTGCATGGCTCATCTCTGTACCATGGAATGACAAGTCTCTTGACTCCCTCCTGCAGCCCCAGCCCAGTACGATGCCATCATGTTCGATGTGGACAGCAAAGACCTCACGGTGGGGATGAGCTGCCCACCCTCAGCCTTTGTGGAAAAGTCCTTTCTACAGAAAGTTAAAACCATTCTGAAGCCAGAAGGTAGGAGGGCAGATCTGGCCGCATCCCTGTGGCCAGGCTGGCCAGTCCTGTGTGGGGTTTCTCATCCTGGAGAATAGTGGCTGCAGCCCGGATTGCTGCAGGGGGTATCTGCTGCTCCTGATGGGTCCTGGATCTGGGTGTTTCAGTGGGCGTTGTGACAGCAGAGAGCAGGGTGCAGTGGGTGGCCCACAGCGCTGCTGGGTCAGGCAAGCTGAGACTTCCTGGGGGGCCAAGAAGTGTTGTGGGAAGGCAGAGGGTGTAGGTGGTACCCGGGAACAGATTGTGTGACCTGTGTGGCAGCAGGGACGTGGAGCTGGGTCAAGGGCACTGTGGGGGATGCTGGTGCTCCCTGTGCTGCCATGGAAGAGATGTTCTCACCAGGGTGGCACCGATTCAGCTGCGTTCTGAAAGGGAGGTGGGGAGCAGGGCCGTGGATGTGGGCTGGTCTGAACTCCCATCCCTTCCACCCTGCTGCAGGTGTCTTCGTGCTCAACTTGGTGTGCCGTGACGCCCAGCTGAAGGAGTCTGTCCTGGCCACCCTCAGGGAGGTCTTCCCCCTGCTTTATGCGCGCCGCATTGAAGGGGAAGTCAATGAGATTCTGTTCTGTCAGCCCAGCCCTGAGGACCAGCGGGACCCCACAGAGCTGGGGGCACGTGCCCGGGCACTGGAGGGGGCCCTGCGACAGCCTGGGCGCCCCTGGGACAGCTCCTACGTGCTGGCAGACATGCTGCAGGCCGTCGAGATCCTCTGAGAGGGGCTCTGATGCCCCTTGAAGAGAAGAGAGGGTCCTCACTTGGATGCTGTGGCCCTGCAGCAAAGGGGTACCTATGGCTGGGACTGCAGCTCTGGGGGGGCCAGGACTGGCCTGGGTCTGCCTGAAGGATGGAACTGGCACGGGGCAGCGCTCCCCAGAGCGTGGCTCCCCAGCAAGCAGTCCAGGACACGGTGGAGGGCTGCGCAGCCCAAGGGGCAGCATTGGGGTGGTGAGGGGAAGAAGGTGTTGGGGCACTGGCAGGACTGTGGGTTTGAGTCTGTCACCATTGCTTTCCTGCTGTGGGGAAAAAGGTCCCTTCAGCTGTCCCCTTCCCTCCAACGGTCTCCTCACATCTCTAGTATCCCTGGTCACTGGTGTCTGTGCAGAGCCCAAGCCTGGGGGTAGGCTGAGAGCTGTGAAAATAAAGTGCTCAGGGCTGCTCCAAGGCCCAGTGTGGTTTGCCACGCTTATTTCTAGAGCACCCAGCAGCCCTGGATAATATCTGGTCACCTCAAGGGCATGTCCTGGGGGCAGATAGCTGCCCCTGGTACCCCACTGCCTCCTCCCCACTCACCTTCCCCAAACTGGACCCTGCCATGTGCCTGCCCCTCTTCTGCATCTCTCCAGCCTTTCGCCACTGTGAACTGGAACCTGTAGCCCCTGGGGCCCCTCAACCCTTCTGCCCCCTGAGCCAGCAGGGACCCAGCCCTGTGCTCAGCCCCCTGGCCACACCAACCCCTGTACCCAGCTGGTGCAGGATGAAAAGGCAGCAGGAAAATGCTTATTGGGGTGTTCCCATGGCACCCCATTCCCCCTCAGGTGCCTCATTTTTGACTCTAGTGAGGGTTTCAAAGCCTCGTCCCTCCCTGTGAGGTTTAGCTAAAGAGCTGACCCGTGGGTTCTGGCTAGTTACAGAGCAGTTGAGCTGCTGGTGCTCCCACATTCATCAGAAGTCGTTGCTGGGGGGGCTTGTTTTCCCCTGCAACAGCTGGTACCAAAATGAGTCAGAGACATGGTACCAGTGACCAGCTTGCAGACGTCAAGGTGACAACTTGCTCAGCACCACAGCGCTTTGCCACTGACCCTGCACCCTCACCCGGTGCTCCCTTCTGCTGCTGGCAGCTGCTTCCCAAAGCAAACCCTCCCCAGCCACCTTTCCACAGCCCAGGGGGGTAACAGCACACCAGAAGCAGATCCAGGAGGGATCTGACCTAGCTGTTGGCATGGAAGCAACAGCAGCCACATCTCAGCATCACTGCAGGAGTAATTTCACCAGCTTTGTAGCTTGTGCACCCTGTCCCACCGGGCTATTGAGCTGCTGCTCATCAGCCTCTCCTTCCCCAGCAGGACCTGGCTCTTCTCCACCTGCTGGAAATCCTCCTTTGTTCGGAAAGCTGAGCAAGCGGGTGTGTGAGCCCAAGGGTTTGCAGTTCCCCAGCCCCACAGGGGCCATGGAAAGGGCCCCCCCATTGGCTTTCACCCCCTGAACCAGTGGGGACTGCAGCCATTGAGCCGATGCAGGAGACGGGGCAGCTGTGCCACCAGCAGCTCAGCCCTCTGATCAGTGACCGTGGATATATTTTAATTTTCCAGCAGGTTCTACTTTGGAAACTGCTCTGTTCAGATCCCTTCTCAGATGCTCCCTGCCTTATTCCCCTTCACACTGAGGGACAAATCTGTGCCCTACTTTCTCCCTGGGCTGGCCCGCTTCTACACGGAGGGAGCAGATGCTGTTTTTAAAGAAGTGCTTTTGATGGTTCCCAGGCGCTGGAGAGCAGGGCTGGGCTGCTCCCTGCCTCAGATAAAGGATTGCAGCGTGGGCACATGCCCGCTGTACGATGCTCAGCACCCAGTCGCCCCTCTGTGCTGCAGAGTGTTCAGGGCAGCGCACGGTCGCTGGTCAATGGGAGAGACAAGGCTGGAGCTTGAGCTAGGTGGAAGTCTGCCTGCCCCCGTGCAGTTAGTTTCTAAAGCTCTTCTCTGACAAGCACTGTTTTGAAAGGTATCTATTATCCGTCCAGTTTAGTGATGGCAAATTTCTCAAATGGATCAGCAGTGCTGCATTTAGTCTTTTTTTAACTCAGTTTTCAATTCTCAACATAATTCCAATGACACAGGTTTATGTGTGTGCCCTTTATCTTACCAAAACCACCTCCTTTCTTCCCCAGGAGCTCATACAAAGGCTGCGTTCATCCCTCCCTTGTCCAGTCCTGCCTTTCTGTTGTGCTTCCTAATCGCTGCATAATGCCACATCCTGGTGGAAAAACAAAAGCCATCTATTAGAAACAACATAAGGATGAAATCTCAATTCATTGCAGCTGTTGCAGCTACTGACAGCCCTACAAGTTTGGTCTGGAAATACATTTCAGCTGGAAAATTGGCAAAATCATGAGTGCTGCAAATACCTGAAATCCTCTGCAGGTAAAATGCTCCAAGGCTGGAATAATTGATGTGTAGTAAGTATTTCTCTCCTGGCAGCCAAAACATGCAGCTAATGTATACATTTGGCAACTGTTTCTGTTGAGTGTTTTGGCAATATACTCGTGTTTATGTCCCTTACTCCTCACTTCCTTCCTTTCCAGCATAGGCATGCTGTAAGCAGCAGGATAGAAACAAGCACTGCTGTCACTTAGCAACCTCCACTGGCTTTGAGATGTTGACATTTTTCCTTTCTGGATTTCCTAGCATAAAAAGAGATGGCCTCGTAACTCACTGCATGGCTCAGGCATGAGGTTGTAGTGAGCTGGGGGGGATGCTTTGGTCTGGTCAAGTCTGAATCTCTCTTGAAATGCTGCATCTGCTGCTCCAGTGAGCCAGGCACTGGGAGTTGATGGGTGATGGACCAGCCCTGGGTTTCATGATCTTGGGTAGAGGGATGCAGCTGGTCATGCCCAGCCATGGAGGCTCTTTGGCCCAGAGTGACTGTGACCAGACAGCAGGCAGGACAGTGATACTATGAGGCAGGCAGCAGTGGGGTGCCACACATACACCCCGTATGGTGCAACCTCCTCAGGTGTCACAGCCCAGATCCCTGCTCTGCAGAAGAACTAGAAGTGGCTGGGTTCTCGGAAAGAGGGGGAAGGTGGATGGGGAACATACTGTCACCAGCTGAAAGCACATCGAGCAGCTGGGAGAGATTTTGAAGTAATAAAAGCTGCAGGGACTGAGTGCTGAGGCTGATTCTCTCCAGCTGGGAAGAGCTCTGCTGGGGTGAGCCTGGCCCTGCTGGCTGGGGATGCTGCTGCCACTGGGGCACGGCAGGGCCACAGCACAGTGAGGGCTGCAAGAGCCACATCTCAGAGGGTGGAAGTGCCTGGGAAGTGTTTTGTCCTTGAAATCTTCCCTTGGGGAAGCACTTGGCTTGCCTGGCTATGTGGCTAAGAAAGCAGGCACGCTGCCAGGCTGCAGCGAGGGACTATGGCTCTTTCCTGGGGTGCTCAGGGCTGCAGGGAGACATCTCTGTGGGCTGCAATGCAGCACGGTGGCCTTTTTCTACCCTGCAACTGGATGCACCCGAGTAAAGGATGTAGCTGGAGGTCACCAGACAGGAGAGAGGCCACCACACTGGACAGGACAGGCATTGGGGTGTCACTGTCCTGTGATCTGTGAGTCAGCAGTGCCCAGGCTGCAGGGGAGAGGCAGAAAGCAACTCCTCTTTACAGGGGAAAATGCTGCAGCTGCTCTGGCTTTCTTTCACTGGCTTTAATTCTGTCTTTTGCAGAGGTCTGAGCTCTCCTCCTGGCAGATACGCAGGCATAATGCTGACCAGCACCTTCATGCCAACACTGCGGAGCCAGGTGCTGCTGAGAACCTGAGAGCTCCCCCATGTATGGGGCTCCTTGCCCACACCTCCTCCTGCTTTGCACCGATCATCTGCCTGAGAAGATCTGCAAGACTCTGGGCTTGTATCTGAAGCAAGAAGGAGGTGAGAGAGGTCCCTGGAGAGAAGATCATCATGCGTGAAGGAGCCTACCTCTTCTAAATGCTTCCTGGGGGGAGGATGCAGCCTTGTCTGTGCTTTGCTCCCCCCAGGGTCCTGCCTGCTCTCCTGGCAGGGCAGTGTGCCTGGCTCTTCACTGCAGGCATCTGCAAATCTCCTCTCTGGTAGTTTATATATAACCCAATTTCATGAAGGGAATTGCACTGGTGTGTGTGTTTATAAAGTAGCCTGGGGACCTGATCCAAATGTCCTCAGTTTTAACGTCATGCTGCCTGGTTAGGAAGAAGTGTCTGTGGGTAATTCTGCAGGCTCAAATGATACAGCTGCACCCTGAAGCCAGACTATTTGCCATACATTTTTCTAGAAGTCAGGGCAGGACGAACTTGCTGTCCATAGGTTTGATCTGAAATGCACTGGAGGCTTTGGCAGGGCTAGGGGCCCCAGGCAGGCTGTGCTGGAGCTGGTGACATCTGGAAGGGAGCAGACCATGCTGGCAGAGTGCCACCTTGGGGAGCAGGGCACCCTTCCCACAGTGCTGGGGAGAGGTGGTCAGCAAAGGTCTTCTCCCCTTGCCAAGCCTGTCACATGGCAAAAAGAAATAATAAATATCGTGGGGCACAACTGTGCTCAGGGTAAAAATAGAGAGTGTTTAGCTGGCTAACCAGCAAGCAACACAGCTCTGTGCTCCTGGGGATCACACCTGGTACTCCTCAGGAAAACATTTTCTTTCCTGGCCCTCTGGCACTGGTTTGTTGTTTTGTTTGTTTATTTGTTGGGTTTTTTTCAGGGTTATCCATTACAAGAAGCTTTGTAATGGTTTCTGTTAGTGCTACTCCTGTTTTTTTTAATTAAGCCACTCTGAATCTCAACAAATGCAAAAAGTCAGGCTGGGCTCCGTGCGGGATTGGAACAAGTTGCCTGGGGAAGTCAGTTATAAAAAGCGGAGACCTGAAGATACGCTTGGGTGCTCTTCCTCTCTTCACTGCTCTCTTGGAGTTGTTGGGAAAACGAACACTCTTGCGATAACACAGGCATGCATAATGAAAATGTTCATGCTTTTTTTCAGGAGGTGGGACATTTATACTTATGGCTTCTTTTGGAGAAGGAGAGTGGATTTTTGTAAGTGTTGGAGTCACAGTCTGAGTGTGGTTACTTAACAGCTTTAACTCAGCTTCAACAGACAAAAAATTTGGTTTGGAAACCTCCCAGGCTTGGCAGAGAACTCCAACTTTTCCTTAATCATCAATGTTTTCTTATTTATTTATTTTTTTAATTGTGGAAGAAAACAAAGATGCAATTTAAAGACCTAATGGAAAGGACAGATCCCTAGGTTATCAATTTGAAGGTGTACATAGTGTTGCTCCCGAGGAATAGTGTCTTTTTAAATCTTCCTTTGTCTCCTGTGGAGATGTGATCCTATTGCCAGGCTGCTCTTCTACTGATCTTAATTACTTCACTGGGGAAGCACCAAGTGCTCTGGTCCTCAGATGGGGTGGATTTGGCCA